CTGGGCCAATTTATAGACACATTCCTCCTCTATTCTCCATGTCAGCAAATTCCCAAGAGCGCACAATGGTTCTGTGGGTGGCTTTCCTGCCCTCACTTCGCATGTTTGCATGGCCCTTGCTGGGGTCTTTGGGCCGCATCATTATTTCATACTGTTCAGCCTTTAACCTCACTCCCAGCATGGAATAATTCACTAGAGGTCCATGGAATTAAAATCCTGGACATTCCCATGAGACTCTTCCTTGACATGTAAAAGAGGAAGATTTGGGGCCCAAGTTCTCAATTAACTCCCCCTGCATTAATCTCTGAACAGTTTATTCCAGTTCCTCAGAGGTCAGGACTCTACTAACCTACATTTTTTTCCCTTACATGTTCAGTTGGCAAATACTCTGATATACTGAGACTAAATTCAGGCTATTGCTAAAAGCAACAGTTTATGCAGTCTAGCACATTAAAGACCCTTGAAGCACTTTATCTTCCATCCTCTTGAGCCTGTCTTGCCTGAGTTGGGAGAATAAAACTTGCTTTGGGAGATTGGATGACATGGCTGGCTCAGCAAAGTTGATGTTGGATGATCATCACTTTGATGCTTGTGGTGTTTGCTTGAGAGAGGATGCTAATGTTGGCACATCTGATTTCCCATTGGATTAGCTTTGTACCCTCAGTTTTGATGGAAAGGCATATACTATTTTGGTGGCTTAGGATAGAAGAAAGTGACTGTGTCAGGGGACGGTGGGTAAGGAGTGAGGGGCACTGGCAAGGTCGGCAGGAGCAGGGGACTGAAGGTTAGGAGTGATGGGCACAAGCAGGGCTGTGGAAGGCAGGGAGCTGTGGGTCGGGAGTGAGGGGCACCAGCAGGGCCAGAAGAGCAGGGGGCTGTGGGTCAGCAGCAAAGAGCACCAACAGGGCTAGGGAGGTGTGGTTTGGGCATATCAAGGCTGCTCAGCACCACAAAGCAATGTGGGGAACAGCTGCAGTTGGACAGGTATCTTGGTGCAGGGGGGAAACTGCTGCCAGGAGGGAGTGAGTATGGGGTAGGGGGCTGCAGGTCAGGAGTGAGGGGCACTGGCAGGGCTGGGGGGTGTGGTTTGGGAGGGAGGGGCATCAGCTTATCAGGGCTGCTCAGTGCCACAAAACAGCAGCGGATAACCACCGGCATCCTGGTGAGTGAAGGGGGCAGGGGGAGCTCTGATTTGCCATGGTAACAAAACCAAAATCAAATGCCAAAATATATATTTGCAGGGGTTTGGGTTGTAGCCGTGTTGGTCTAAGGACATAGGCAGACAAGGTTCCTTGGGTGAATTTGATATCTTTTATTAGACCAACCCAAATGGTTGGAGAATAGTTATTAAGGAAGCTTTCGGGTTCAAAAACCCTTCGTCAGGCTAAGGAAGCTTCAGCAGTTGGTGTGTGCTCTTCCTGGATGAGCACACACCAACTGCTGAAGCTTCCTTAGCCTGACGAAGGGTTTTTGAACCCGAAAGCTTGCTTAATAACTATTCTCCAACCATTTGGGTTGGTCTAATAAAAGATATCAAATTCACCCAAAATATATATTTAGAATTTATTGTATTATAGTGCTTGAAGCACTGGTAGGCTTCCAAATGTCTTTAAAATTGTAAATATATCAATAAAACATTGTGTTCAACTGATACCTATATATATAGTGGCATTTCATTTTAATTGTGGAAAAATGTGGATTTTGGTTTTTTTAATCAGAGAATTTTGGATTTTTTTTTATCAGGGAGAGCCAGGATCCCTGCTGATCATGCTTTAGATCAGTGGGGGCCAACTGTTTTGCCAGGTATGCCACAAAATTAATCCCACGCCTTCCCCAACTGCCACTCTGATCCCCTACTTCTACTGGATCTGCTACTCTGCTTTCTGCTTCCTACTGTGTGCTCCCTGCTCCATCTGCTGCCCTACTTTAATAAAATCATAGAAAATTAGGGTTCGCAAGGGACCTCAGAGGGTCAATCTGCTCAAAGCAGGATCATTCCCAACTATATCATCCCAGCCAAGGCTTTGTCTCCATGGGTTTTAAAAACCTCTAAGGATGGAGATTCCACAGGGCATGCCCACGCATGTAATAATGTGCCATAGTTACTGTGCATTAAGTGTAGTACCTGTAATAACAGGTACTAACTAAATGCTCAGTAACTGGCGCTACTGCATACCTTTTTAGTGATGCAAATGTGCAGTAGATTAATTCTACTGCGCATTAGTACAATAGCACGGCTTTTGCTGTAATGCGCTAATGCACAGTAGAATTAGTCTACTGTGCATCTACTGTCTCTTGTAGATGTGCCCACAACCTCTCTGGGTAGCCTGTTCCAGTGCTTTACAACCCTGAGTGAGAAAGTTTTTTCTAATATCCAACCTAAACTTCCCTTGCTGCAACTTGAGACCATTGCTCCTTGTTCTGTCATCTGCCATCACTGAGAACAGTCCAGCTCCATCGTCTCCGGAACCACCCTTCAGGTAGTTGAAGATTGCTATTAAATCTCCTCAGTCTTCTCTTCTGCAGACTAAATAAGCCCAGTTCCCTCAGCCTCTCATCAGAAATCACGTGCTCCAGCCCCCGAACCATTTTCATTGCCTTCCACTGGATTCTCTCCAATTTGTCCACATCCTTTCTGTAGTGGGGGCCCAGAACGGGACACAGTACTCCAGATGTGGTCTTACCAGTGCTGAATAGAGGGAAATAACTGCTTCCCAGGATCTGCTGGCAACGCTCCTACCAATGCAGCCCAGTACACTGTCAGCCTTCTTTGCAACAAGGGCATGCTGCTGGCTCTGTCCTATCTGCCACTGTGCTGCCTATGATCTGCCCCCTGCCAAAGCTGCCTGTGCCACTTGCGTTCGGCCACCCCTGCCTTAGACTGTCCATTGTACCTGGCGTTGCTGCACGCCCCTCCACAGGGAGGGCAGGAGGCTCCTGTCACAAGGGCTGTTCTGTTTACTCTGCGCAGGGGAATGTCCCCTCTCGTGGGCCGCCAGGCAGTCAAGCCCTTTCCCGGAGAGCCCCTGGTCACGCATCTTCCACCGGATTAGCCCAGTCCTCTCAGCAATGACAAGCTGGGTGGACTGAAGCCTGTTGCAGACCCCTGACATGGGCCGGG